GTGGAGTATAGTGTGGGAGTGGAGTCAAGGGATTTGTAATAGATATGTATGATATTGGGGGGAAATGGGGTGACGGATTGGGGGAGGGGGATTGTCACTTCGAGGGGTAAAAAGTATAACTATTGCACTGTGTTGTACAGCTGAAACTAATTCTAAAAAATGTGTTTCATAATAAAAACTAAGTTAATTAAAAAAACAAACAAACAAACAAAAAATTTAAAAACACTGGAGAGCTATAAAATAGCTCAGAGCTACAAAATAATTTTCTTTTCAAAACTGAAAACAAAAACTCTAACAGGTAAGTAGAAAAGTACAGGCACTGTTATCATAAAATCATTTGATAATTCAGGCAAATCTGAACTTTGGCTTCAATGACCTCACAATGAGAGGGGAACAGAATTAAAAGTTCAGGGTTCATCCAAGGTAGAGAGTCTAATAGAAGGCCCTCTTTTCTTTCTTTTTTTTTTAACAGAGATAATTGTTTACTGTCAAGGACCAAGAAACAAAGCCTGGAGATGCTCTGTATAAGTGGTAATGTGCTACTAAAGAGGGGCAGGGTAGAGAGGAAACGCAGTAACACACAGCATTATTTTGAGTGAGCTCCAGCTCTTCATTCTAACAATTGAACCAAGGAGAGACAGCCACCCTCTTGCACTAAGGCTGCAGAAAAATGGAAACCTCACTCAATTTATGAGATCCTACAGGGCAGGCTAAGCAAGAGACTATTACTTTAGGCAGATGTCAGAGGCCACTTATGGTCTGTTAGGAGCCCCCATCCCATCCCAAGCACAGAATGGATGAAGGAAATCCATGGCTGTTGGTGGTGGTGGTCCTTAGGTCTTGTGCTTCTCTTGATTCTCAATGATAAGCTTGTCAGTCAAATATAGTTGGCCAATGTGGACCTGTTGACAAATCACTCCCAGCTCTCTAGTGGCTTTATTCACTAGAGTCTAAATTTCTACAGATCTTTTACATTCTTATTTTCTCTAAAGGCATCTCTTATCCTCCTGCTAGCATAAGTTCTGTAATTGTCAGCACTGAACTGCTTGCTCTCTCTCAGCATCGCCTGGTATAGATCTAATACTTGTGCACAGCTGGAAGCTGCCATTTTGAGAAGAAAAAATAAGTGGGTCCTCTTCAGGAAGTTCTTGAGTTTAACCCAACCACAAAATTTCAGCCTACACCAAAACCACGCACAAAATAAAATGCAGTGGGATTCGGTCTTGCTAGCGGGCTTGGACCTCAGCCTAGGTAAGCAGCCGCCTGTGCCTCAGGTTGCCGTGGACGGTGCCCGGCATCACACACGGCTTCCAGAAGGCCCCCTTCACATTAAGCGGGAACCCCAGTGGGCCACATACTCAGGGTATAAGCCAGAAGTATGAACTACAAAGGAGCAGCCCTCACATGGACTTGCAGTTGGCATTCACAACCAGATAGTCCCAAAAAGCCTCAAGCTGTGAATTTAAAGCAGTCTCTGGGCTCCTTGTAGCAGCAAATTCAAATCCTCTGTGCAGAAAGGCACCTTCATCCTAGGTCTCAAATTATTTCTACAAATACTTTTTTCAAACACGGTGAATGGCACATATGGAAACAAAGCATGATGAGTGAGAACCATCAAAATACAATAAACACCAGAAATAGACAAACCAAACTCTAAATGTTGTAATTATCAGACATGAACTATATATTTAAAGAAATAAAAGGAAAGTTTGGAAAGATATGCAGGGCATAAGAAACCATAAGTAGTTACATGGCAAATTTAAG